CTGTAAATGCAAAATTCACACAGCTCCTAAGAAAGTGTGCAGCTTTCACACATCTCCTGGGGATCTCTGTTTTATTAGTCAAAGGTTTAAACCCAGTGTATTCCCCATGAATAATCTCTCTCCCTTTCCCCCTCCTTCCTCCTGTCCACATCTGAACGCAGAATCCCCAGCTTCCTTGTCTTCAGTTTACAGATTATGTGATCCAAAGTGTCACTCACTGGATTACTGCACATAACCTGAGCACTACCCGAAGCTTACTTGTCTTCAACTTGTCCAGCATTACTTAAATGGAATTATCCGTCACAATCCATATACCGAATCTGCATAGCCCACTTATCTCAAGATTCTGTGTGTCACCTACCAGATTATCCGTTTTAATCCATACATTGAATCTACATAACATATGTCTTTAATTCATGGGCTCTGACGAGCTATAGTATTGCTGAATGGATTATTTCTCTTTATCCATTATTGGCAGTCGTAAAACCGTTCACTGCATACTCTCTCATGCCCCATCTTCCCAACATGTAAGATTAGAGTCTTCGGCAAACACAGCTCTATCACACATCAAACACAGCTTGATATAATACCTGCACTGATACTTCATGGAACTCGGAACCCAGTTTCTCGCAGGGAATAAACGTCTGTGCTATCACGCATTAAAGATTAGGACTGGTAGGCTAATCTTGCTTTCAATTACACTCACAAACCTGCGGTTACTCCAGCACAGTCTTCGGAGTCGACTAGATTTAAGTGGCTACAACTAAGAGCTGAATTTACCCTAAGGATGATCCCTTTCACAGCGAATGCAGGAAACACTTCACCTGAGTTGTTTAGGAACTCACTTGTACAATAGAGAAGTATTTTCAAACAACAAAAAAAATATCAGGTTCAGGCTTGCCCGGTCTTTCTTGAGAGACTCGGGTGCAATCACTGTTAACAATGCCTTCGCTTCAACAGAAAACCAACTCAGCAAGATTAGAAACAAAAGTCAGTTTGGCCCTTTGTTCCACACTCCTATTCAAAATTAGCTAAGTGGGGAACATGTGAAATATGTAGCATTATTTCTTGACAACTCTCGATAAGTGAGAGATGGACAAGATTAGCAGAAAGGCTTTGTGTACATCCGGGAAGTTTTAAAAAGAGTTCTCATCATGGCTAAAGCTGCCTCGGTCACATCGGCGTCAGCCAGACGGAGCACCTCACGATGCAGCCCACCCCTGGGGGTTAGCACCGTCCCCCGCTGAAGTCTGCACAGGAGAGGCCCAGTGCCCGTGGAACAGAAGCTTCATGTTAATTTCCTAAGTATAGAGATGGTCACGGAGAGCAAAGAGTGCAGGAATAAACTACTTACACCTTTTCCTATTAACGGTCCACCCTACGTGCTGCATCTGCTACAGTCAGCAACACTGCCTTGGACGAAAGCAACTACTTAGACCCTGTAACGCACAGGTATCAGGCGGCTACACTGGAAGCAGAAAGGGGCATTACTCTCCCTCCTGGAGACGATCGGTTTGAGACCTGAGGTTCTCTCTGCTCCACTGAATCCAACAAACTGCATTATCCATTAATAACCCAGAGGTCTTTTGAGTCCTGTTCTTGAACATGACAGATAGAAGTAAGTTTGAACAGGCTTTAACCAATTCAATATATAGTTTTACAGTTTTATTTTAAGATGTTTCAATTTAACGGCATGTTCTGTAGGTTTTACTACAGACTGACTCGTTCTGAACAGAGTAAAAATTCCATGGATTGCAATGAAAAACAAAATTTCTTAGGAAATCTCCGGTGCCAAGCTTGTATTATTTATTTAGTCCCACATTACCTCTCTAAACAGAGGCATTTGAGTTAAAATCTCTGCAGATATGACAGGTTCTAGATTTTGCCCCATTTTAAGAGTATTCCCTTGCAGTATGTTTCAGTCAAGCCCTGGAATGAAATATTACATTGCCTTTTCCATTAGTAATTGGACATCCATAGATTCTTCTAACTGTGATCTTGAAGTTTGGAGCTAGACCTCTGCAGAGGCTCAGCGATGGTTCTCCCATTTCACAGGCATGCAGATGAAGAAAGGGGGGCTTGAAGTAGCTGCCCAAAGTAACAAAGCAAGTAAGAGGAACAACTGAATACAAAACACAGGCGCCTGGTGACTTCCAGCCATTCACCAGCTCCCCTATCTTTAATAAAATATTACTGCTTTCTAACTTAAAAGAAATAACACTAATAGAAAATAAAGTCTTCCGCTTCATCTCCCTTTCTTTTAATCTCTCCCAGAGAATAAAACTCAATGGTAATAACACAGACTTGGGCATTAACAATATGTAGCCTAGTGCTGAGACTTTAGCACATGACGTACTAAAACTCCCCCAGATCTAATGAAAAACACAATGAAATTTTGAACAGTTAAACGGAAAAAACTATTCAGTGCATAAGACAGTTGGGCAGTACAGCTTCTAGTGCTGTCCACATTCCAGGGTGTATTAATAATAAGACATTACTTGTGCGGGGTTTCCAAATATCACTAATAGAGAAATGAGGAAAAAAAAATGCAGCTGCCAAGCCAAATACAGAGAGAAGTTAATTAAAAAATCACAACTGGAAAACTTAATAACCCTACGTTCTTATAGAAGGACAAAAGCATTTCCTAGCATAATATACGTGTGTTTGTACACGCATACGTGAGTATAAACCAGCTCAACTTGCACACCTTTCATGTCACCTCACTCAATACAGCCGCAATACAGCTGAGCCATTGTGTGGTGGCCGCTCATGGCTGGCGGTGCCATGAAAACTGCATTCCTGGGCACTCAATAATCAGCCTGCCTGACCCCCCAAGAACCTGTAAGTCAAATTCATTTACCCCCAGAGGGCAATGCTCTATTGTATCCTCCCTCCTTTCTAGCCACCTAGGAACAATGCACAATAATTGCAACTGTCACGGCAGTCAGTAGGAAAAATAAACCAGTGCCTGTTTTCACAGCTTACTGCCAAACCTGATCCAAACACCTAATAACCATGCCCCCAACCATAGAACCACAGTTGCACTAAAAAGCCTTAGATGTGAGGCTTTTGAACAGAGCTACAGAACAATAACTCGACTTGTGTTCAAAATATGAAGCTAAAAAACAAAAATTAAAGGAAAAAAAAACTCTTCTTTGAGGCTGTGCTGTTGCTCGCCATCCTCCCCCCAGGCAAGACTGAAAGCACTGTTGAATTTCTTTCGTGCTAGCATATAGCTGC